AGGTACTTCACAAAGACATATTTGATTATTCTGAAGGGGATACTTTTTGCATTCCAATCAATCATACCTGCCATCTGGTCTTGACGAATAATGGTTATTAGTTTCACTTAGCAATTGCAGGGTAAGCCCTGGACTTGATTGAAATAGATATGATGGGCGGTAGATGACTGGCAGGAAAACAGCTGTTCTACAGCCATGCCATCTGCTAAGACCATGGGGACGCTTGAATTCTGATGATGCCTAGTGGAAACTGTGAACCACCCTATTCAGGAAGGCCAGCAATGCAAGCCCCACATGCTTGTGAAGGATGGCAGAGAATTTGGTGGGGTTAAGTAATTAGGACCAAAAATAATTGCAGCAAAATATTATGTATACAGGAGCACTAGACAGAAGTATGGTGTCCCAGAGAGTCCACTGGACTGGAAATTCAATTTCTTGCCCCTGTATACATGCATGCATACATACATACATATATATATATATATAATGTACCTGTTCATCCCTAGGTAAGTCACTTACTCTCTCTAAATCCGAGTTTCTTCATTTGTGCAATGGAGATAATAGAATTTGCCCTTCTTGGCTCTTAGGGATGCTGAGACCTAAAGTGCTACAAAAATGAGTTATTATTATCAGTTATCTTTGCTGAGAACTGACTTACATGACTTAGGTGAGTCACTTGACCTCTGAAATCCTTAGTTTCTTCATCGTTGGACCCGATGAGAGATTGCTAAGGTCTCTTCCGCTCAGACTAGAATTCTATGGCTCACTGCAGAACTGGGGCATCCCTGTCATGTAGGTTCATAGCTCTCTACCTGGAAGGGGTTTCAAAGGCCACCTAGAGCAACCCCCTAATTTTATAGATGAGGGAGCTGAAGTACAAGTAGAGATTAAGTGACTTGTCCCAGGTGACGCCAGCAGCAAGTATCAGAAGCAGAATCTGAATCCAGGTCCTCTGATGGTAGGACCAGTGCTGTTTCCACCATAACATTTCCATCTCCAGTCTGTGCAGTGTGGCGCCTCTATTTGCTTCACCACTTTATGTTTTCCTTGTCAGCCAAAAGAAAACAGAAGCTGGTGGTGAAAATTAAGAGGAGCAGTAGCTCCCCCCCAAAAGGAAACTTTTTTCTATATATGATACTATATTTAGGTACTCTGCCTATGATGCTTATTACTGAGATGCTAATTCCAAGGCAGGTAGGCTTTCTTAAGAAAAGCAATGTATTTGGAATTAGAGGGCCTGAATTTAAATAGTGTCTCTTTTGCCACCTAGATGAATTTGAGGTCTATGGGTCTGTTTCTTGATTGGTAAAACGAGGAGGTTGGACTATATGGTGTCTAAGGGCCCTTCTAACTCTAGAATTATCCCCAAGATTCAGGAAATTACTTTGTGAGGTTTAATCGTAGTGAACAATCTTGGCTTCTGAGAACAGAAGATGTGACCCATCTCTCCTCTGGATAGACGAGTCAGAGACCCCTGGTACAGAATGTGGCGTATATCATCAGCTTTGTTTTGTCAGTCAGAAAGGGAACAAGCATTTTATTAAGTGCCTAGTATGCACCAGGCACTGTGCTAAGTTTTTTACAAATAATATTTCATTTGATTCTCACAACAATCCTGGACAGTAGATGCTATTACGAGCCCTATTTTACAGTTGAGGTAGGTAGAACAGGGTAAAGTGACTTGCTCAGGGTCACATGACTAGTAAGTGTCTGAGGCCAAATTTCGGCCTCACCTTGAAGCCAGGACTTCCTGACTCCAGGCTCAGGGCTCTACTCACTGGGCAACCTACCTGCCTGTTCGTTCTGCTTTAATTCCGTAATTAGGGAATAATCTGTGAACAAAACAGGAAATAACCGTGATTTTTCTTTTTAAAAGGTAGTAATATTTAAATGCTATTGTAAGGGAATGACATTTTTCTGAAAACTACATTTTCTATAACTGAATTAAAATTATTTAGGGCATTTTTATAGTTTCTAAAAGTGCTCAGTACAGGAAATCTAGGAATCCCATTTCAGAGAATCCAGGGAATTTGGAACTATACTTTGTCATAGCTAAATACTATAGTCAATTCTTAATTATGTTCCAGGGGATTATTCACATTTTGGTTTATCAGACGAAAATCTTTCAGATTTATTGATACTACCTACAATACTAAATAAGTAACTATTTAGTTACTTGTTTTGTTGACAATTGGCTCTTCATTTCAGTTTTCCATGAAGTTTTCATATCAGTAGGTAAGACCTATGAAAACCAAATACTTAGCTATCAATCTGACTCAAGGGAAAATTTCACAGAAGATATCATAGTTTCACTTAGCTTGGTGCTAATCCTAGCATGGAGTAGGCTTCAGGGATAAGTTAAGAAGGAGTCATAATGGAGAAATCTGTTACCTCCAGAGACAGATTTTCACTGTCTGGCTGCCAAAATAAGTTTCTTAAAATATGTCCACCATGTCAGTCTCCTACTCAAGAATCTTCAATGGCTCCCTATTATGTACGGGATAAAATACCTTTTTAACTTGGCAATCAAGGACCGTTGAAATTTAGCTCTGACTTACTTTCTCAACCTTATTTCATATGACTCTTTTTCTATGTTCTGTCTTCTAGCAAAACTGAAAAATTCTTCCCTCTATTTTATCTTGTACCCTCTTACCTCAGCAAATTCACAAAGGCCTGGAAGATACTCCTTCCTCATATCAACCTGTTGAAATCCTCCCATTGTTCAAGGACTAAAAGGGGAGCTGCCTTTTCTAAGAGGCTTTCCCTGGTACCCAATCTAGCAGTGGCTCTCCCTTTCTATTTTTTTTAGAGTAGTTTGATCTTTATCTCCCATTTTCTCCTGTCACCCAGAGAGTGAGAGTTGGAGTCAAGAAACCTAGGTTCAGATGCTGGTTCTGACACTAATTAGCTGTGTGACCTTTGATGATACAAAAGGTCTTTACGTCTCTGAAACTGTTTCCTCACCTTTAAAAATGGAAGAATAATTCTTGGTCTGCCTACCTCACGGGATTACTGCAAGGAAATTTGTAATCCTATAAGAAATATGTGGGCATTAATATCGCGGTTACCCTATATCAATACAGGAAGGCAGCTAGGTGGCATAGCGGATAGCATTCTGGACTTGGGAGTATGGAACACCTGATTTCAAATTCTGCCTCAGACATTTACAAGTTGTGTGATCATGGACAAGTCACTTAACCCCTCTCAGTCTCAGGTTCCTCATCTGTAAAACGGGGATAATAATAGTACTGCCCTCTTGGGGTAGTGAGGATCAAATGAAATACCATACATAGAGTACTAGTTCCAACAAGAGTGTGGAAACACATAGGACAATGTGCAGTAAGTCCATCTCTCTATAAGGGACCCCAGATACCTCATTTATTGATATGTATTTTAGACTTTTTATGGTGCTGTATATGCGTGGTAGAGGGAAGCTTTTTGTTAGCAATAGAATACTTTTGAGATAAAAATGCGCCAAAAGTCACGTCCTCATGGCTTTTAATGAGAAAGACTAAAAATGCTAATGATTGAATAGTCATTAATTTGGGAACATAGTAAGAACTTAAATTCTCTCTGCTTTCTCTTTCTCTCTCTCTCTGTCATTTTAGTGAGTACTCTCTTCTTCACCAAAAAGTCTTCCTCTAGTCCCCTCCACTAGAAAAACTCAACATTCAACAGGAAATGACTGTAATCTATACCAGGTAATCTGAAGAGTTGTCAATTTCCATGGGAAATGGAAGTGGTTTTGATTGTGTACCTTGCTACCACAATGGGGAAGGATGAGGCATAGGGAGAATTTGTTCCTAACCATAGCTAGGGCCTTTTATGAACTAAAGCCTGACAATTGAAAAGTGTTTTTGCTGCAGTAGATGATGTCACTAAACATCTAATTTCTGATTGATCTCACTGTTATTTGCCTTGATAATTGATAACTGACTGGTTTCCATTCTCTGGATTTCAAGCTTACAAGGCTAATGAAATGGTTTATACAAAAGCAGGAAAACCCAGTATATAACCAATTATAGATGCTTTCACAAATGGATTTGTGTGTGTGTGTGTATAATTACAAATTGTTCCTAAAAAATGAATGATTTCATCCATCTTCATTATTCGTGATCAGAAGTGTTGACTATCATAGGAAAGAAAGGAAGAAATTCCACGGGTGAATATTCACTTTCATGTATCTTTTATTCTTTCAGCATGCATTGCTCTCCACATCACGTGTGAGGATAAAGGAAACATCACACAAAACACACATGTCACTGGTGTCAAAGGATTAAAAAGAAAAGGCTTCTTTTTAAATTGGCTTAATTCTTATTCCAGAGCCTGCTGGCTATGGCCAGAGCCCCAATGCCTGTTGTAGGTCGTTTTGCAACGTAGGGCTCAGAAAGACATTATACAACTATAGAAGAACACTAAAGAAAAAAAAAAAGACCATTTTCTTTTGTTGGGGGCAAAAAGGATGATTTTGCTGGCCCCTTTAATGAGTGATATTTTCAAACCTAATTTTTTTTCTGGTACATATGAGAAGGCACAGTGGGGTCAGAGATGGCACACAGAAGTAGGCATTGGTAGCTATCCTTTTTAAGATTTACATTTTTTTTAAAAAGGAAAAACAGTAGAGCATCACTTCTAGTCAAAATGATTACGTACTTGCAAACCTTGTCATGAAAGGGCAAAGGGATTTTATTAGAGTTCTCAGGTTCTCTATTCTGGTTGTGGCCATAGATTTTTATTTTATTTAAGAAGCTTTCAGTAACTTTCAATACTGTATGTAAGATGTGGAAACAGTAATGTCATCATCATTAAAGCATTCTTTTTCTCTTGCATAAGGTACACAGTCTGGCATCATAATCCTTCCTGACAATCCTTCAAACTAAAAACTGTCTTCATTAATTTTTACACACTGGCAGTCCCATTTGAGTCCATTGTTGGTAACAGCTAAATTAGGAGTCACGTATATTATTTCTATCAATAATTCTCACAAAGGCGCAACCTACCATGTGAGCCGTGGTTCTGGCCAGCCTGACACAGAGCAGTGTAATCTGACATTCTGTTTCTCCCAGACAGTGTGGGAACGAGGCTTGATGACAAACTCAGGAGCATGGAGAAGACTGTCTTCATTCAACTTTTTATGAAATTCCTCAGTCTCTTCTAACTGAAAAAAATATGTCAATAAAACGATTCCAAAATCAAAATATTCTATCTTCCTAAAAAAAAAAAAGAATAATGAATAAACCACAATTTTAAACCACTGGGTTTGATTTTCATTCTGAGCCTCAAGTTTGCTTCTAAAAGATAATAACTTGTTCTGATTATCTTTCATAGCTTTGGCAAATGATTTCTATGAGGCTTTAAAGCTCATTAAGGTTTTCTTAACCCTAATTGAGAGCAAGGGATTCTTCCTCCTTAAATGAACCTTTTTTTTTTTTTTTTTTTTGGCTGAGGCAATTGGGGGTTAAGTGACTTGCCCAGGATCACACAGCTAGTTAAGTGTCAAGTGTCTGAGGCCAGATTTGAACTCAGGTCCTCCTGAGTCCAAGGCTGGAGCTCCATGCACTGCATCACCTAGCTGCCTCACTTAAACGGATTTCTTAATGCTCTTTAAAGTGTTTCAGAGTTTAATATGGGGTTGAGAATGTTTAACTTTTCTCTTTTGATTTTCTGTTTTGTTTTTACTCCTACTTCCCTTAACCCGTGCAGAGTTTCGTGTGTTTTAGCACTTGAAGGAAATTGAGTATCTAAAACAGATTGCCATGCATGTTCCCCTTTGGCAACATGACCTATTTGTCTGCTCTTACTGTTTTTCTCAGTGCCAGGCGTTCTGCCTTCTCCCGTATGGCCACTTTCCTAGATTTCTTCTCAAAAAGTTCCTCCTGTTGTGAAGACACCGTGGACTGCTTGGTGGTGGTGATGCCTTCACCAGTGGCCAAAAGATTTCTCCTGGCAACATAGGCAGCAGCTTCTTTAATTCTTCCCTCTTCTGTATCAGTAATTCCATTGACGTTTACCTGGCTAAAATTTAAATAAAAAAATACAAGTTCAACGAATGCACATCCAAATCCCCATTTTTGCCCTTTGTACCAAATTCATATGCATACCACACTGAAGCATTCATTTGCAAAATACATAGTTGGGGCAGCTAGGTGGATAGAGCACTGGCCTTGAAATCAGGAGGACCTGAGTTCAAATCTGGCCTCAGACACATGACTCTTAACTAGCTGTGTGACACTGGGCAAGAAGTCACTTAATGCTGACTGCCTTGCCAAAAAAACAAAAAAGCAAAATACATAGTTATTCCCATTATGCAAAGATTTTTTTACCTTTCAAAGGGACATACCAATGTTGTTGCTGTTCAGTCCCGTCTGACTCTTTGTGACCCCATTTGGGGTCTTCTTAGCAAAGACATTGGAGTGGTTTGCCATTTCCTTCTCCAGCTCATTTTACAGATGAAGAAATAAGGCAACCAGGGTTAAGTGATTTGCCCAGGGTCACATAGCTAACAAGTGTCTGAGGCTGGATTTGAACTCAGGTCTTCTTGACTCCAGGCCCGGTGCCCTATCCACTATGCCACCTAGCTACCCATATACCAATGTCTTTAGCTAAAAAAAGTATGCTTCCTTGCTTTGTTTAAATGTAATTTTATTTATATCCATATTTTCAAGAATATTGCAGTTAGGCAGCTAGGTGGTGAAGTAGATAGAATACTGGACCCGGAGTCAGGAAGACTTGTGTTCAAATTTGACTTCAGATCCTTACTAGCTCTGTGACTCTGGACAAGCCACTTAACTTTCATTTGCCTCAGTTTCTTCATCTGTAAAATGAGAATAATAATAGCCCTTACTTCTCAGGGTTATCAGGATTAAATGATATAGTATTTGTAAAGTGCTTTGCAAACCTTAAAGTTCCATATAAATACTCACTGTTATTATTATTAGCAAATCTGTGTTCAGTTTGAAGTCTAAACTCCCGATCCATAGTTTGATAGAGTTGTACTCTTAAAAACAAGCAGGTACAATATCCAGAGCAATTACATGGAGAAATGAGTTATGGACTTTACGCTAACTAGATTGACCGTGTGGCTCACTCAGTCTAACTCTCTGAGACAATGAAATGTGTGCGCATTTTCCACATAATAACTCTGTTGTATTGGGGCAGCTAGGTGGCTGAGCTCTGGCCTTGGAGTCAGGAGGACCTGAGTTCAAATACCGTCTAAGATACTTGACACTTACTAGCTGTATGACCCTGGACAAGTCAATTAACTCTGATTGCCTCACCAAAAAACTCAAAACAACCCTATTGTGTTTATTGTTTGGGAAACTGATCAGCTCTGTAATAGCTAGTCTTGGTCAGGGAGAACAGACAGTAAAAGGTATGCAAGCTGTTGTAGAGCATGTTGAGCTGTCTCCTAGAGGTAAGGTTATAGCATAATTTCTTGAAGTAAAAACTGAATAAAGCTCCTAGATTATCAAGACACTAAAAAAATTTCCATGTTTCTAGAAAAGCAGTCATTGCGCATGGTTCCTTCATGCCCTTAAAAGCTGCTCCTCAAACACTCCCCTCAAGAGGGCGCTGAAGTGTCAAATTGACAATGCTGCCTTACTGCCACGGAAGCAGCAGGAAACCACAGAGGCAAAGCATTTCGGAAATTGTCAGACAGGGCCAGTGTTTAGTTACTTTTGCTAAACAGTTTTCCATTAGGGGTAATGGAAGAGACCAGATCTACAACCAGGAATGAATAAAACCCCTAAAGCATCAACAAAACTCTTTTTTTCAATGAATATATTTAGAACAAAAGATAATCATTCAGTTTACTGACAGCAAGGTCATTTCTAATTAATTGAATCCTGTCAGAATGTTTTTGTTTGTTAGTTGATGGTTGTGAAAAGAGGAGAAAACGAAGTTCCATAAGAAGCACTGACCCCCTAAGATCTGCATTTTGTAAAGCTATTATCACGAATAATGGATACCATTAAGTGGTCACATTATTTGAATTCACACTATTTTAAGTTATAATTAGTTGCATGTAAAATAACTATGGTAGTGGTTCCAGCCCAATGGAAGTATGCACTGTGAATTCAAATAATACAACCATTTCACAGGATTCATTATTTGCATTAATCACGGTTGCCTGAAAATTATTTTTAAAATAAAAAAAAGTTTTATTTTTAGAATCTTTCTCAGAATCTTTTCTGCAACTTCCTTGGGCGTTTCTTCTAGACAGGATACAGCCAATTTTAGTAACACTAAAAAGTCAGGGTTTCAGAATTTAGAGTTTCTTCAGCCCTATTATAGGGAATAAGTAACACAGATCTACCTGCTTTGTTATATCCCCTTCTGAGGGAGGATTAACACCATGAACAGAGTACATGCAGATATTGTATTTATATATTCTTGACATCTTATTCTATAACATAGCTAATGTATGCATGCATTGACTGAATGTTGAAGAGAAAGATCCAGCCTCTCTTCTCTGTCCTAGCATTTAACAAACCCAAATTGTGACCTTGGCGGACCTTGCCTCTTACAAAATTCAAAGGATATACTTTCATGGATTTTCCCTTAACTCTCTCACCCACCTCTACAACTGATTCACTGAATCTGCTCTGGCAAGTCAGTCAACCAGCATTCATTAAGTATCTTTATGTGCCAGGCACTTCATTTCTCTCACTTTCAGTTGTCTCATCTGCAAAACGGGGGCCTGGTCTCAATACTTCCTATAATTCTTTGCAACTATAATATTCTATGATTCTAATTTCTGCAGAAAATCAGAGACACACAGAGAGAAAAGAGACAGAGACAGAGAGACGGAAAGGAAAGGAGACGGAAGATATTGTCGCTAGAAACCTAACCTACTGTCAAACATTGTGGAAATTTGCCTGGTTTACTCTATGGAAGTCTGTCTCAGTTTCCTCAGCTGTAAAATGGAGATAATAGTACCACCTACCTTGCAACATCCTTGTGAAAATAAAATGAAATAATATTTGTAGTGCTTTGTAATTGTTGTTTTTGTTATTATACCCTTTAGGGTATAATGTTTGGTGTGTTAATAATTGATAATAATAGCTATCATTTCTATAGTGCTTTCTGTGTGTCAGGCACCGTGTAAAGTGCTTTAAAATTCGTATCTCATTTCATCCTCAAAACAACCCTGCTATGTAAGTGCTGTTATTATCCCCATTTTACAGATGAGGAAAGTAAGGCAATCAGAGGTTAAGTGATTTGCCTAGAGTCACACAGCTAGTGTGGGAGGTTGTAGTTGAACTCATGTTTTCTGGAAACCAGGTCCAGAGCTCTAGCCACTGCGCCATCTAGCTGCCAAGAAAGGCACATTGCTCCGAGAGGAAAGTCTGAAAGGAGAGAAAGACAGCCTGCTCTACTCAATAGAACAAAAAGCAGCGGTGTTTCGAGTTGCCTTACAAAAGAAATGGTTTTTTTTAAAGGACAATAAAATTGCATATGAATTTTTAGAGAAGATTTTGGACCATTTTAAAGATTATTTAGGCTTTGATTACCTTGTGGTATGTTTTTATTGAATTATTGAATAGAAATTAAAGGATTTAACATATCTCAGTCCGTGGCAGAATATGGAAAAAAAAAAAAAAAGAAACCAAACCTTGCATAACCACTTTTTGGATTCTGCCTAACTACACACACATTGCTTAGAAAGTCAATCCTGGAGTCTCCTTTTCCATTATTATTATTATTTTTTTTTTTGACATGAGGTATGCTATTTAAGAGATACAATGCTATAGAGCTGAAAGAGCAAGGAAAGCAGACTTAATGTAAGACACTTGGGACCTTTATTGTGAGACATTTCACTAAATGCAATACAAATGTGGGATAGTTTTAAAGTCTGCTGCTGGTGATTTGCAGAGAAAGAAAAAATGCGACGGAGTAAAAAAAAATCCAAGCCTTTTTTTAGTGGGGGGAAGTATAACAATCTATATACCATAGTAAATCCATATGTATTTTAGCTTGTATGAAGTTCTACTAAATAACAGTATCTATTAAATTATCTTAGGTAGGCAGTAACATTTTTAGAGGAAGAAATATGACTGTTAACACAAAAAGTTCACTTAAAAAAAGCAGGGAGTTGTAGTAATAAGCTAAAAATAGCATCTTACACAGAAGGAAGTGAAGGAAAGGATTTTATTTGTTCCCCGAGTTCCACCCCAGGCACAGTTCCATTAGACTGTGGAATACTTCAAAAAGCAGGCCCACTGTCAGAACAGGAAAGAACAACACAGAAGTACAAATCAGGGATGGAAAGAATTCCTACTGACTTTCATCTAGGCTCTGTTTTTCCATGACATTTCTTGATGCCATTTGGCCCAAGAGGATGACATTTGGTCAGTAACCTTAAGATCATGCATCATTGGCCCAGCAAAGAAAAACAAATAGGAAAGGACACGAGGATTCCTTTAGCCCTTGATCTCCGCTCTATGGTCAAGTTCCTTTCAAGCTTCCTGAGGATGCTATTGGAGTTCAAATGAAAATTACCACAAAAGTAATGAATAATACACTGAGCTGGAAGTTGATCTGTTTCTCCTGTTTTTTGCTTGCCTTCATGAAATAAAAGGAAATAATTTATTTTCCATCAAAACCCAAACCTTTGATGATAAGGTTAAACTATAAAGTAAAATTTTCCATGATAAAAATCTATGAAACTATTAGATCATGTTTGCAGCTGTCTTTTTTCTTCTTAATAAATAATAATTAAACAACCAAAACATCACCCATCAAAGCAGTTTTCAGGATAACTAAATAGTGGTATATCATCTGACCCTCCCCATTCTCCTCATTTTTTGGGTATTTTACTTAAATATTCCCTTCTTCTATTCTGTCTCTAGTAGTCAGATCAGTATCATCTCAAGCATGCTGTCCTTCCAAGTTCTAAGAAATTCCATAGGAGAAATATGTTTTTTTAAAATTCTTCCATATAGCATCTCCCTGTCTTCTGAGATGACTAGTTTCAGAGAAAGCTCTTAAAGCCCCTTACATGACAGCTTTCAAAAATGGTTTTTAGAAAAACAATTTTCTTGATTTTTGCTCCCAAGAAGGATGCCATATCCGGAATAACAGGTGAGCATAAAAAGCAGTAAACAAAAGACGAGAAGAGATTACACAAATCATGAAAGAAAATAAGAACCTATTAATAATATAAGTTCAGGTTCACAGTATCGTGGATCTAGGGCTGTCAGGGATCTCAAAGGCCATTTGGTATCCTGACCTCTTTTACAGAAAAGAAAACTGAGGCCTAGGGAGATTAAGTGGGTTGCCTAAGGTCACACAGCATCAGAGGTGGGTTTTGAACTCAGGTTCTCTGGCCCTTGGACTCCTACACTTTTCTACGATACCAAATTTCAGAAAGTTCCCCCCACCTTTCCTATCCCCTCTTATGAGCTCCAAAAGTACAAAAATAATGCAATGATGGAAGGGGCCAGGGGGTGAGGGTGGGGCAAGTAGAAGGAGGGGGAGGGTCTGTTGAACACATCCAATTTTCTTGGGTGATGCAGTCTCCACGTGGAAGAGCCTGGGAGGCCTCCTTCAACATGTAATGGAAAGGTCTTGCTCCCTCATTTGGAGCATGAGCAGACATTCTGGACTGGTTCTGCTCAGCTGACCATGAGGTGAAGAGACAGACTTTTCCTTGGCTATGGAGCCAGAACTGGGATGCATTCAAAAGGCACCAACAAGCCAAAGTGAGGCTCTTACTCTTGTACATTTCTCTTTCCTGGGGGCTTCTGTTCAGCTCAGAGAGATATTCTAGAAGCCTCTAGTGTAAATGAGGAAAGGCATCAGGCTCTCCTCACCAGAGGTCAACATGTGACTCCTGAATAAGTGTCTCTGCTGTTTCCTGCTTTTAGGTGAAGTTTTGGAGACAGTTACGACCTTATGAGTTTCCAAAGGTTAGGATGACTTGCCATCAGAGTTCGCCATGCTGGATTTGGTAGCCAGCTTCGTCCATCAGAAGTGAGCCCAAGGAGAGACCTTTGGGACACAGGCTAACAGTGGCTAAGACAGATTCATTCAGCAGCTGTGTCACATTTAGAAGTGAACTGAAGGGGTAAACGCTGGGTAAAAACTTCTTTGGGTTTGGACCCACTCTCTATAGGGACCAGGGTAGTTTGAGGAGAGTGTGGCCCCAGGGATGTGTGTGTGTGTGTGTGTGTGTGTGTGTGTGTGTGTGTGTGTGCGCGCAGTGTTTATGCTTCTGTTCTTGCTGTATCTTGGTGGTAGGTATCCTTTTGCAAAGGCTAATCAATGTTGATTGGTTGGATGGAGCTAGGATGCTGCTTCCTGGAAATCTGCAGTCAAGAGTACACCAGAATGGGGGGGTTTGAGTTGGTAGCATCCAGAGAAGGCCACTCCCACAGCCTCAGGGGTACCCCTGGAAACCTGAGGAGGTGGTGTAACCAATTTCATTCTGCAAGAATGAGTCCAGAGTCTCACTAGAATAATGATAATACCAAAAAGAGAAAACATACATACCGCCCTGAGAAGATAGGTACCACGTAGTCTTTTGGATCGTTTTCTTTCTCCTCTCTAGAGACGAGGCTCTTTTTGGCCCTTTTGGTTTGTGGACTCAACTTGGAGGAATAATCTTCTATCATTAGAGAGGAATCTGTCAGTCTGAAAAAAAATCCCTGAGGTTAGATTTAACAATGTGGGAAGATATATTCAGAACACACACATCAAAGGTGAGATTTAACTTGGAAAACATTTCATAGGATCTTGGATCTGGAATAATTTTCTTTCCAATCCAGAGCCCATTAAATGTGGGCACATACAGAAGGAACTGAAAATAATGTTTCCATGTGCATATGAAGAAAGGATTTAGGCTATATTTAAAACCAGTAAGAGAATATCTTAGAAGAAGGTTTGAAGGTTAGAAAACAAGCCTTTTATAATAATTCCTTTTGCTTATTGCTCTCATAGTCAATGTTCAACATTTTTCTCCTTTTTAATTTAATATTTTATTTTTTCCCAGTTACCTGTAAAAATAAGTTTAACATTCTTTTTTTTTTCAAATTTTGAGTTCCAAATTCTCTCCCTCCTTCCCTCTCCTGCCCACCCCTTCCCCCATTGAATATTTTTCTCTTTCTAAACAAAAGAGTCTATATCTCAGTCTAGACTGCATTTATTTGCATGGCTTCAGGTTCCCTCATTATCCTAATCAGTAATGCAGGGGTTTGATGACTTGACAAAGAAATTCAATTTAATTAATATTAATTGAATGCTTTGAATATAGCAGACACTTAGGGAGATCCAAAGAATGAGGCACATTTACTGCTCTCACTGAGCTTGTAGTCTAAAAGAATCCCTTGTTCCCTTCCAAACTCAGCTCAGGTGCCATCTTCTGCACAAAACCTTTCCCTGGTTCCCACAGACCTCTTCCCATAAATGTATTTTGTGAGAGGCCATATTCATGCAACATGTGGCCTAGTGCAGTTGGAGTCTGTCTCAGAGTCAGGAAGACCTGGGTTCAAATCAATGTACAACGTGTCTGGCTTTGGCTGATCATACCAATAAGAGCTTAGAAAGCCCTACCACAGGTTGGACACAAATAGTTCATATGACCATTTGCGAGGAAGAGGTCTCTAAATTTTCACACGTCACATTTCTTTTAAGCTACCACAATTCTGTTTTGCTCATAGAGCACAACACCTTCTTTGATGAATGACTTTAGGCCCCCACATTGTCCTAATCAGTAATGAAGGCATAGATGACTTGACAAAGAAATTCAATTTAATCCACTTCTGTAGATAAGAGTTATCAGCAAAGGAATGATTGCAATTTTCCAGGTGTGAAGTGGTGAGAACTCATATTAAGATGGTAGAAGAAGGAATTTCCTTTTGTTCTGTTACTAGAGACAGAAAACACTCAGTAATGTTCCCCGTTTCTTAACCCAAACATGGAAATTAGAAAGTTTCTCCAGGCATTAAAGGTCTTTAAAGTAGAATCTATGTGATGAAATTATTCTAACAATGAAGATCTAAGAGAGTGCTTGCAGTGCAAATAAAGAGGAGAGAACAAATGTGACAGGAGGTTAGGGAAAAGGAAGTGTCAAAGGCAATGCCACTCATGGGTGATTGAGTGAATGATGGTGCCATTGATAGCTGTTAAGAAATCAGGAGGAAAAGTAGATTTAGGGGAAAGATAATATGTTACATTTTGGATATTGGAGTTTGTAGTGCTAATAGCATACCCATGTGGAGATGTCTAATAGGCAGTAATCTTTCCAGTGTAAAGTCTAGAGTGGCAACGTGACAGCAGATTGAGTGTTGGGCTTCCTGTCAGAGATAGCTCATCTCTGATGGTTATTGGGTGTGACCCTGGGCAAGTCAAGTAACCTCTATCTGATTGAGGCTCTAACACTTATCTTTTGGACTTCAGTTCCCATCACTAAAACGAGGGAGTTGATTAGATGTGCTTTAAGGTCCCTTCCAGCTGTGATTCTATAATCTACTAAGCCATGAGTTTTCTGTGTTGAGGAAATCACAGATACTTCACATATTTGTGAGCACATAAATGTGATCATGCACACTTCTTTAAAAAACCCTACACTGGCTTCTTATTAAGTATCAAATAAAGTCCAAACTCACATTGGGTATTTCACATTCCAGATTTTCCAGATTCATCTCTTAACACTTTTTCTTTCATGTACTCTATGCTCTAACCAAGCTCAATTACTTACTATGCTTCCTCTCTCCTGTCTCCTTGTCTTTGTCTATGCCATTCCCTAATGCTAGGATGCCAATTCCTCTCTGACATCAGTCCCCAATCAAAATCTTCTCTTTTTCCTTGAGCCTTTTATAATATTCATTATTATATTATTGCTTATACATTATTTTATTTATATTTATATCTTTATTATAATATATTATACATAATATATCATTATATTATTATATTATGTTTTGCTCAGTGCCTATTATGGTTTATATTCTTTTTTTCTTAATTTATTTTTAGTTTTCAACATTCACTTCCATAAGCTTTTGGGTTTTAAATTTTCTCCCCCTCCCCAAAATGGCATGCAATCTGATATAGGCTCTACATATACATTCCTATTAACCTATTTTCATATTAGTCATGTTGTAAAGAAGAATTAGAATCAATAGGAGGAACCATAAGAAAGAAGAAACAAAACAAAACAGAAAAGGGGAAAAAAGAGCAAATAGTATGCTTCCATCTGCATTCAGACTCCATAGTTCTTTCTCTGTATGTAGATAGCATTTTCCATCATGAGACTTTTGGAGATGTCTTAGATTCTTGCATTGCTAAAAAGTCTATCAAAGTTAGTCATCACACAATGTGGCTGTTACTGTGTACAATGTTCTCCTGGTTCTGCTCACTTTACTCAGTATCAGCTCATATAAGTTTTTCTAAGTTTTTCTCAAGTCAGCCTGTTCATCATTTCTTATAGCACAATTACATTCATATACCACAACTTGTTCAGCTATTCCCCAATTGATGGGCATCCCTTCAATTTCCAATTCTTTGCCACCACAAAAGAGATGCTATGAATATTTTTGTACATGTGGGTCTTTGTCCCATTTTTATGATTTCTTTGGGATATAGCCCTAGAAGTGGTATTGCTGGGTAAAAGGGTATATGCACATTTTTATAACCCTTTGGGCATAGTTCCAAATTGCTCTCCAAAATAGTTGAATAGGTTCACAACTCCACCAACAAAATCTTCTCCAACATTTATCATTTTCCTGTTTTGTCATATTAGCCAACCTGATAGGTGTGCTGTGGTATATGGCTTATATTCTATTAAAACTATTTGTCAATACTTCCTACACACACACACACACACACACACACACACACACACACACAGTCACACACACATACCCAGGCAGATCATAAGCTCTAGACAGGAGTCTCGTGTCTCATTACAAACTTTCTATTCCCCTAGAGTCTACTACAGTGCTTCAAACATAGCAAGTGCTTTTAAAAAGTTTTGTTGAATTGAATTGAATGGCAAGTCTAATTTTAATGATTCATTATGAATCATGTTATGAATATAAAGATGTAGGATAGATAGTATCATTTGTTTATACCTCATACATCCCCCCCATCTCTGCACCCCCTCACCACTGCATCCTGGGCCATCTGCAGTAGTCCTGATCTATATCTGGTCACTGGATGCAGATATATAAGACTTTCTTAAGGACCATGCCTCAAACCCAAATCACTCTGGCTCTCATTAATTGGCTAACAATAGGTCCCAGGACAAGCCCCACTGGGTCCTTGTTTGGGCCCTGATTGGCTCAGAGTGAATGTAAATAACAATTGTTTCTGTTTTGGCCAGAAACCCTGAGGGTCTTCTCCTCCCAGACTGATTTTTTTTTTTGACCAGTTAAAGAGGCCATTCTCTGCCTCATTTCTTACCTAGACTTAATCATAGAATAGGTCTCAGTCAAACTGAGACATGTTAAAGACCTTAGCTTAAAAAGGCCAAGGTCTTCCACTGCATCCAGGGCCATCTACAATTCTCCTGATCCATATCTGGCCACTGGACCCAGACTGTTCTGGAGGGGAAAGTGAGGCTTGTGACTTTGCACAGCCCTCCCTCACTTAAATCCAATTCACTTGCATGTCGTGGCATCACCTTCCTGATGTCATGGTCCTCTTGGAGAATGAAGGACAAACAACAACCTCTGTGAGTAGAAAAGGAGCTGCCCATCGGGGATAAACTGGAACTGGGCAGTTGGGCAACACAGTTTTCTTTCTTTCTTTCTTTCTTTCTTTCTTTCTTTCTTTCTTTCTTTCTTCCTTCCTTCCTTCCTTCCTTCCTTCCTTCCTTCCTTCCTTCCTTCCTTCCTTCCTT